ACCCACGATATCCTCATCATCCGCCTATAACACCACATTTCGAACGCTTCTAACCTTTTCTTTTCCGCCGCGCCTACTGTCCATTTTTCGCACCCGTACAATGCCGTGCTCCAAACATACACCTTTAACAATCTTTTTCGAATTTGTTAAGTTCAGTATATAAAAGGTTTTTCGTATGACCTTATAGGGAGTCCTCAGTCTTAAGACTTGTTGGACACGTATTTCCACTCTTTTCTATCCTGAGCTAATCTTTGCGTTACCCTAAAACTGGAGTATCCCACATCCTTAACTATTTTGAACAGTAATCTAATCTAGGTCTATCTCTACTCCTCTTAACTCCTGTTTCTGCCTCTAACATGTCTCTGACTAGCCCTTAATGAGAGCGTGTCCCACCAACCTATCTCGCCTATTGACTCACATAGAGTCCTCGTTTCTTCTATTGTAAATGATTAACAAAAATCAAATTATTTACTTTTTCTAAGAAAATGGAACTATAAAAATATATTACTTATACACAGGGGGTATAGCAACTGGAAAATCCAATATTGCTAAAAGATTACAAGAATTGGGTGCTTATGTAATAGATTGTGATAAAATCGCCCATGGTGTCTATAAAAAAGGTAAGTCTTGTCACTCACTGCTAGTGAAAGAATTTGGAGAGCAAATTTTGGAAAATATACTTGCTAATGTAATATTACTTTGAGCTGATCTATTGATATTAATTAATCTTGGCTAAAAACAAACTAAACCTAATAGAATAATAACATAGTTAAACTAATTTATCGTTCCAGGCAGCTAAACATTGTCAAAATTTGGATGTACGGGTTTTGCTATCGGGTTTAAAATACAAAAATAAGTTAATTTATACGGAACGGGAAGTGGAATTGGTTATTTTTGATGAAAAATATGCTTCGGATGAAGTACAAAAGTTTTTATCAACCAAACTTGTAAATATCAGCAAGGATTATAAAATACTGACTTGCGCAAACATTGCTGCTGAGCCCATTTCTGCAGATTTGGAACAAAAAAATGATAAGGTTTACCAGCATACAGTTTTAGGTGGAACTTTTGATAGGCTTCATTTAGCGCATAAACTTCTTCTTTCTGAAGCAGCTTTAAGATCAAATTCTAAAATAACTGTAGGTGTAACAGAAGAGAACATGATAAAGTGTATGTTCCTATAAAACGAAAAATAACTATATATAATAAAAACGTTAATATTATAGCAAAGATTCTTTGGGAATTAATAGAACCATTAGAAACAAGAATGAGTACGGTTGAAAATTTTCTGAAGGATATTTGTCCAGAACTGAACATATCAGTAGTGTCAATTGAGGACCCTTTTGGACCAACCCAACACGATCCTACAATTGACCTTCTGGTTGTTAGCAAGGAAACGATTAGGGGGGGTGAAAAAGTTAACGAAGGTATCGTTTAAAAGGGTTGCAATTTTACATGATCAGGGTGTAATATCGTAACTGTTGCAGTTCGAAAGAGTAAAGGTTTACCATTGCTGGATTTAGTTGCAGTTGATTTGATTGATGAACCTGCTCAAAATCCTCACGAAGAGAAGAAAATTAGTTCTAATACACAACGTATGCGTTTGCTTGGGACGTTATTAAAGCCTGTGAAACAAAATTTAAATTTACCAAAACGACCGTATGTGATTGGTTTAACAGGTAAGTTTATCTATCGAAACTTCTCAAATACAGTGGAACTCGCTTATAACGAGTAAGGAGTATAGTGGGGATGTCGGTTATCGAAACGCTTGTAAAAATAACTTCTATTATAAAAAAACCGCGCGATTTTTTATACGAACTTTTCTAATATACCTAATGTGTGATAAAAGGAATTACTA